GATCATTAAAGTAAGGTAGATTTTTAAAGCAATTTCCGTGTTCGGAAAAGTATCTCTTACATCCTTGTCATTAATTGTACTGTACATGAATTGCTCTGTGCTGCAATTGTCTGGTTTTTCATCCAGGAAAAGAGAAATGAATGACTGAAATTGAATTAGTTCATCACCAAATGTTGTGCCCAGATCATGCTTGTAAAAAGCAGACAACTTTTCTGCTGCAATGTTAATGGATTCAGAGTCCATCGCTGGAAAGTTTATAAAGAAACCAAATAAATCACACACTTCACTGTAGGCTCCTAGGCGATGTTCCAGACACATTAAAAGTTTGTCAACACATGGGAGAAAGGCCTTAGCATAAAAGGCCTCCTTTGGCGTTAATTGAGCTTCTTCACTGTGTCCATAGTCAAGTGGCTGCTGACAGACATTTCGACGTTGAAGACGGCGGTGTTCCACAATATACTCCTCAGTATCTGTTAGACGCTTGCCAGCTTCTTCAAATGCATCAAATTTAGTACGCTGTTCATTAATAAAATCTTTTAACGATTTCAAAACACCAACAGCAGCATTTAGGTTCAGCTGAACAGACTGCAGAGTTTTGCTGCTGCTGTTGAAACGCTGCAAAACAGTGTTCCAGAATTCTGCAAAAATCCCTGTCTCAAGTCTGCTTATCTGATAAAATAGTCCCTTTGCAGTATTACGGCACTCGGATTTTTCTTCAATGTCCGTTGCAAATTCAAACAAAATGTCCATTATATTGTCATAGCCATGGACTAATGCTTGACAAGCATCTGCACGACATGACCAGCGTGTGTCACTTAGCTTTTTTGGCATGGACACAGAAAGGCCTTTCTCATCAAGCTGGTCTTTAAGCTTCTTGTAGCGCCGAGTTGAACCACTAAAGAATGTATAAAGAGCTTGTACAAAATTAAAAAATCTTACAGCCTCACTACACGAATTTGCGGCATCCTTTCCGACAAGATTTAATGAGTGTCCAAAACAAGGTATGTACTTAGCATATTTATTCATGTTAAGAATTCTTGCTTGCATACCCTTGTAGTGGCCAGACATGTTGCTTGCATTGTCGTAACTTTGTCCCCGGCATTCTTGTATGGTAAGTCCAATGCTATTAAGAAATGCTAGGAGCGCATCTGCCATTTCTTCTCCTTTATGCCCTGTTGAGGGTAAAAAAGTAACAAAACGCTCCACAGGTCGATTTTCTTCTAAGTATCGAATAATCACGGTGAGTTGGTCAGTATGAGAAGAATCCTCCGCTGAATCCACAGAAACAGAGTAGTATTTTGCCATTTTAATACGGTTGATGACAACTTCTAAGATCTTATCCCCAGTAATTTGTATGAGTTCCTCACAGACATTTGCTGATAAATAACTTGTACATCCTTTGCCTTTGTTTGCCTTTGTTTGAATGTGTTGTGCTAGGAAAGCATCATACTCTGACAGTAATTCCAAAATACCGAGATAGTTGCCATTATGTGGGGATCCAATAGTCTGATCATCACCTCTAAAAGCCAATCCTCTCTCAGCAAGAAAAACGATGACACTAAGCAAACGTTTTACTAGGTTTTGCCCATAGGTGGTCAGCTCTTCAATTTGCTGTTGCATTTTATAGTCAATCCGACCTTCCAGTTTTGAAAATTTGGCTGTATCAATCACAGCGCGTATATGATGTTGAGACTGTTCATGGGATGAAATCCGTTCACTGGCATGTTTCCAGTCGCTGAAGCCATCACTGGAAAATGCATTTGTTGATGAACTAAATAATTTGCAGTCAAAACAGTATATTCGGCCTCTGTTATTTGAGTAACAAAGCCACTTCCTTTCAACTTTGTCCCCATTGGGACAGTTACGAAGAAACATATCTGCTGTACAGCAACGTCCATCTTTAAATGATTTTGGAAATCCTTCATTGCGCAGTTTTTCCAGAGGTTTCCTTACTGACAAATTTCCATTTTTGGACCAATACTCCCGCATCTCAAGAGTAGATGAGTTGGGCCACAAACCAATGTCAGTTAGGAAACCTGACTTTTCCATGGATTTTGGCGGTATATCAACTGCTTCAGCAGTTGCGTCTTGTATTTCAACATTATGGAAGCTAGGTTTCTCAACTTCCATGGGAACTGGAGTGGTTTCTAGTGACATGGGCTGATCAGAGGAATCCACTGTGTTGACTTCAGAGCCATATTCTGATACACTTTGAGGAGGAATCTCTTCCTGAGAACATGTACTAGCATGTTCTTTAGAAGATCCACACGCAGAAGGCTGTGCAGAAGATCCACTTGTAGGTAAAAGAAAACCAGTTATTTTTTGGAATTCTACATATTTTTTCCTCCAACTCCTGCTGCTTCTTCCGCTTCTGAGCACCACTCAGAGGTTTGGACATGTTGAGGGCAGTCAGG